TAAGAACACAACACAATGTCCCGGCCGGGGCTCGAACCCGGACCACTCGATCCGGAGTTGAGTGCACTAACCATGAGGCCACCGCGCCTCCACTGGTATATGGTGTAGAATGTCATAAAAATTCATGTTTAATGCTGCTATGCATCCCTGAAATAAAAAGTGGTGAAAACCATGGGAACAGCTGGATTGTCATACAGTTTCTTGCAGGTGATCTTGAGTTCATATAATCATTTGGTTAATCACTAACACAATCTGCTACTTGTATCAGCAACTGGGTGGGGGAGGGGGGTGTTTAAGCAACTGAGCTGACCAAAGAGCCTTGATCCAATGATCCTGATAGATTGACAATCTCCAACCACACAATGCTGATAATTAATTCCACACGTTTCCTCTCTGTAGTGTTCTCCTCTTCAGGCAGTAAAACGTTTTTTATTAATTTACTTACTTGTTACTGCCGGACATCTCTTAGAATTCTTGAAAATTTAACAGGTAAAAAGGATTGCTCTACTGGTTTGAAAATCTCTTATACCAGTCCTACTTCTAATAAGGGAAAACTCTGTCCATGGAGGGGTGATGCTTTGACTTAACTCAGAAATATGTATCATTGAGGAATTTGTAAGTGTCTATAATGTCTGCTTGACAGTCATTTGATTGAACTATGCTTGTACTGGCTTTATCTTGTCCAACGCAGCTGCTCTTCGGTCGGTGTTCTGGAAGAGGGCCCTTATCAAGCCTTTCACTTCTTGAGCTGTAAACTCATGTGCCAAGGGACCCTGGTGGAAAACATCAAAACAAGTAACAACTGTAATAACCAACACATGTTTGGAAACATATTAAAACCTTTGTTTAGATAGTTACAAATGAAAATACCTTTCCATCTGCCCATCTATCCACAATGTCTTGTAAACTGGCTTCCAATATCGCTATCAGCTCTTTGTAACGAATCCAGTGAGGTACAACTGTGCATAAGTTCTGAAACACAAACAGTGCATTTTGGAGATCGTTCTATGAAAGCCAGTGGTGGTAAGGACCGAACCTTCACAAAAGTGATTCTTAAGGGTGAAACCCTTTGAGCAACTAGCAATGTACTTCGGTATAATATAACCTGCTCTGTTTGCACATTAAATAAGTCACATTGGCAGCAGCTAACAGAGTTCAGTTATATAGTTCCATGTATACTCTCTCAAAGTAAACATTTGTAAATAGTTGAAGGCTTAGTACAGGGTGTTCAATGAGAAATCTGTATCTGAAAAAAAAAAGTGTTCAGTAACAGCTAAATATTCTCTGTTTAATAAGAACAGCTCTGGGCATAGAAATTAAGTCGGAGTATTATGCCCAGTAGCCAGAGAATTAAATAATAATAATAATAATAACAATAGGTCTTTATTGTTTTAAGCAAAAATACATGCTAAAACAAGAAAATTTACTTAAAAATAATTACAAAATAATTCTTAAATGTGCAATGCTCAATGAACACTCTGACTTTTTGTCTGTGTTATGTTTTACCCAGCTGTTTTCTACTGCTTCTGAGGCTTCTTCCTCTGTATTTTGGAATATTTCAGACCCTCGCTCAACAAGTATGGAGAGTAATGAGTGAAGCTGGTGTGCCTCTTCTGTTGAAATATCCTATCATGAAAGTAATGCCAAAATATCATTAGTTACTGCAAATTTTTTTTTCTTAAGGGAGTTTCATAGACTATGAGAACAACCTTAGAAAAAAATACTTCTGACACAAGGTTTTTGATGATTAACCTTCATGTGTGAGGAAAGTAAATCAGTAAAAGTTTTTCCTGTAGTCTGACTGTCTGGGTGAGAGTTTTTCGAAAGAGAACGATTATCATCGCTACTTACTTTACTCTGATGATGCGCTTGGTCCATATGGCTACAACCTCACAATAGTATTCCACAATAAAGCCCTCTTGCCTGGTTAGTAATAAGTTATTTCCTTGTTTGCCTTACCTCAAGCTGGATAACTTCCCATGCTATGTTTTTAAGGACGTCATCAAATAAGGCTCCCAAGGACTGACAGTAAATATCAACTGGTAAAATACCATTCCATACTTTTCCAAGATTTGTCAAGATATGTAAAATCTGAAACGTAATGAAACAAGTGATCAACATGTAACTTCTCCTTATAATATCCATTAATTATTCTGCAAACAGGTGACGAGAATACTCAAACTTATCAGGTACATATTGTTATCTTGATCTAACGCCAAATCCTCATGGCTAATTTACAAGGAAATGTGTGGTAGCTAGAAGAGAGAATTAACAACAAGATTTTAGGAGTTAATGGGTTAACTGATGAAAACTTGGTGTAGAAGGTATTGTCAGCTCAAGGCAATTCTTCTG